TCGCAGCCTTTTGTATGTTCTGCCAGTTCCAGTGGTTACTGCATCCTGTCTTCCTCATTGGAGCAAAGTTCCAACTGGTTAATGTTTCCAAAATGGTCCATGGAAGTGACAGGCACCGTCCTTCTTGCTCAAACGGACTAAAATTGGGAATGTTGGTGCATAGTGTCTTCTACGAAGGAATTTAATAAAATGTGAAATGGAGCCCTACTTGGAAGCATGTCAGGCTCTCAGATTTGCTCCTCCAGGGAGTGCAGGGCTGGTGTCCTATGACCACCAGAGCCCAGCAGCTGGGCTGCCTCCCGACTGTCTGCTGGTGGGGGGCTGTTGTCTCTCCTCCCCTCAGCCCATCACCCGAGGCCCCCACTGCCTTTGCTTCCCGTTTCAGAAGGAAAATATGACCCAAAGAAAGCAGATCATCCGTTTGACAAGTATCCTAAATGTGAGGTAAATGTATCTGACTTGTGGGAAGACATTCAGCCAGGACTTGAGCTTGTTAAATTAAGAAAAAACCCCAACTATATTTATAAACAAAAAAATAGCATCAGGCACTAATTTTGTCAATGTGTCTTGTCACCTGTCTAGCTTCATTTTATGGGACAAAACACTAGCCTGGGAGTTGTAAACTGAGATGCCCATGAGGGCCAGACACAGCAAAAATAGCCTAGAAAGACAGTTGTAAAATTATTAGGAACCGGGAGCCCAGGGCAGGATGGAGGGCTTATGCACAGCCTGCTCTGGCCAGATCCCGCCATGTCGGAATCAGCACGGCTTCCAGTTATTCAAGAGAAGCTTGATATTTGAACTTGTAAGTGAAAATCCAAGCTCTAACAGCATATCTGCCCATTGGATGAAGCTGACCAGGCACCGGTTTACTGATATCTGAGACTGAAACTTTGTGTGTGCAGGGAACCTGTCGTGTCTGGCTGGTGATGCTCACTTAGCCTCCACGCCTGTGCCGGCCCGCTCAGGCGTTGCTGCAGATATGTGCTGACAGCCAACAGTGGGAGAAATGAAAACCAGAGTGGCGGGGAGGGTACGCTTCCCGAGAATTTCAGATTTGGCACGTGAAGTCCTCTGCTGCTGGCGAGACTGGCCTCTGTGACTGTCTGCATGTGTCCTTTCAGCTGTGGGCATGGAAACCAGTTTCCTGATCAAAAAAAGGATATGGCTAATTCCTTTAGGAAAAGGCCACACAGAACTTAAAAGCAAAACTTTAAAAAAAAAAGGCACTTCGCTTATTGAAAAACTTATTGTAGAGACAAAGTGTTTTCGGTGTGGTGACACAGATGAGTGATAAACACAGGAGATTTGGGGTTTTTAATAGTTACTAACACTTACATGTGAATTTGGGGAAAGGAGACAGATAAGGATAAGTAATACTCTGAGATCAGATAGTGGACTGTGTGTACATAAGCAGAGGGACAGTTTATTACACGAGCACACACGGCCCTGGATGTGTCACTGTGCGTGTGCCGAGCAGCGTTTTGCTTTTTAATCTCCGTGTCTGCTTCTCTTCTGTACAGGGCTGAGTTAAAACTGATGTCTGAACAGGTGGAAGAGCTGGAGACTTGCATTTCCTAAATCCCCATGTAAGGGTGTCAGATCCGAAGTCTCAGTCAAAATAATTTCACTTTTATGGTGTCACCCTTAGGTCTCTCCTGTCCCCCATTCAGGAAGCAGTGGTAGAGGGCACAGCACAGCTGAAACAGATGCTGATGAGCCAGGCAGTGGTGCATGATGGGTGGCGGAGAGTGCACCGCTGGCCATGTGCTTTGCTGGTTCCTTATTGTCCTTACGTATTGCTTAGTCATGGATCTCAACCACTGGCCTTGTCGGTGAGATCCTGCTCCCTGAGGAGTGCAAGAATTCCAAGTCGCAACATCAGAAGCTGCTTCACTTACTGCTAACTCCCCGCTGTGTGTTCTTCCTGCAGCCTGTCCTTCCATTTGTTCAGTGACCCTTTCTGGTCAACCAGGAAAGTGCTGAGAGGGCAGAGCGATCATCATGCAAGTGCTTTATGGTTTAATAATGGACTAATCAGACACTCTTTCTCCACCTGCACCTTGTGTGTACCTGGGCGCTCTGGCTTGACATATTCCTCTTACCTTTTTTCATACTGTGGTAAATTAAATTCCCGGAGGCACAGATACATGTGCCTGTGTCCATGTCAAACTTAAAATAACACTGGGTAGATAGCGGGAGTTAACAGATGTCAGAGCTTCTTTGTAATGATGTTTATGATTATTGAACCCATGAGGGTGAAACTCTAGTCTTATCAGACTAGAAGTATAGCTACTGGTTATTCAATCAATAGTTTTATCTACTCAGCCTTGCACCTGGCCCATAACAGGTGCAGGAGAAGTTAAAGACCCGCCTTCTGCTCTCTAGGAGCCACTCACTGACTCTTAGACCTGGCTGAGAAGCCCCTTGGTCAGGCTCCGTGTCTTAGAGGCCAGCTACAACCTTGTCCTTTAGCCATATGCCCCACCCCACTGCAAGGAGCCTGGCTCTGAAGGCTGTCATTTCTTCTAGACATGTTCCAACTTATTTGAGTTGCTGGAGCCCCCTACTCAGAAGTCCCTAAGCCTACTCCCAGGGTCTGCACACATGTTTTCTTGGACCTGACCCTCTAGAACCAGGCCCAGGCACAAATCTCCAGGTGTGAAGGTGGCCATAGAGGGTAGATGGGTAGGCTAGAGGGTAGATGGAGCTTGGGGGTGCAGCCCAGGGTATCTACCTGGAGCGGATGAGAACCTCTTTGGTGTGGAGGGAAGCAGGGATGGCAGAGCTCTTTGGGCTGCTGTATTCCAACCCCTCCCCCAGGGAGAAATTAAATCCTAAACTCAACGCTGAGCTCTTGAGTGCTTTAAAGCCACATTTGTCCAGATATAGGGGTGGAGCTCTTGTTTAAAAGCTTATCAGACTTAAAATCTCAAAATTTGTAGACCCATTGAGGGAGGCTGGCCTCCGTGTTGAACTCTCATCCCAGGAGCTCCAGATGTTGGCAAAGGCAGCTGTACTGAGTCTCCCAGTCCTCGGGAAGGGAAGTGCTCGGCTTTGTAAACAAGCTTTGAATTTAGTAGGGCGTTTGCATAGTAGCCTGGCTGCCAGGGAAGTACTAAGTACTAAGCACAGCTCTATTAACAAATACCCCGTTGCCTTGTTTCCTTACTTAAAAGGCTTTAGAGTGTTTTGCTCCAGTTGAGTGGTTCTAAATCCATAAATGCATAATCAGCTGACAGCAATTTCAAAATTGCAGGTCTCACTGTTGATGGAAAAATGGGAGCCTTGTTATTCCTTGTGTGTAATTTTCACCGAGAAATAGGGGGCTGGATTTAATGTCTACACTTAGAGGTTTAATGTAACCCTCATACTGAAAAAATAGACCTTTAGCCAAATCCCAACTCACAGCACTGTTGTTCGCCCCTCCGCCACTTCCCATTTTTTGAGAAAAACAGGGAGGTTTGAGAAAAGGTTCAGCTCAGAACAGGACTGGACCCTGCCTTCCTTCTCCGTTTGCTCAGCAGCTGGGCGTGCTTGGTCAGCAGGGAACCACTGCTCCGCTGTGTCTCCGGGCACTCGGTGGGAAAGAGAAGAATGGGCCGAGTAGGTTCCTCAGCTCCAGCCCCAAGCGCAGCAGGGAGCAGGGTCTTTCCGAGCAGCGGATCACTGCGGGGCACCCCTGCCCAATTTGCCCTCACTGTCTCCAGAAGACTCCATGGCGTGTGTTCCTAATGAAAAGAAATTCAATTTGATTTTATTTTGAAAACACAGGGAGGAGTCAGGCCACCCTTTGAGGTGGATAATTGGTGATGCTCCATGGGACTCATAGAAACCAAGGTGGCTTAATCTCTGGGGACGAGCAGGAAGACCAAGATTTATTGGAAAATTGGCTTCAGCCGTGTAAGTTTCTTCGAGGTATTGTTAATCGGTCCCTAAGTCATATACAACAGTACTCATTAATTAAGCATATGGTTTTAGCTTTCCCCGTCCGACTGGCCGTCTTCTTTCTTCTCTGGAGAGCAGTGGTTTGGGGCTATACAAGCATTGGGGCCAGATCTAAATGTTTAGTGCTCCAACACCATCACACCCCCTCTTCCCTATGCCGGCCATAAACAAAAAGAAATGGTCAGCTATTTCAGACTTTTTCAAGGGTTTTTCTTTTGCTTCAAAGTGAGACTTTTCCAAGACCGGGTCCATCCTTGGCTACCCTGCCACTGGGGTGTCCCACCTCTCCGAGGTCGTGGAGCATCCCTGCCAGAAAGTGTGTTCAGAGGTCAGGGCAGTAATTATGTCTGTCCTGTTCTCGTTAGTGTGAACTGCAGGGTCTGCTCTGCACACAGGAGAGACCGTTAGCGGGGTTGCTGGGCGCCGCTCTGGCTGCAGATGCTGAAGGTGTTCCGGGTCCAGGTGCTCTGGCCCAGGGGCTGGGGCAAGACGGCTTGTGGGTCTCCCAGATTCCTTGTCAGGCCTTGGGTACTGGAAGAACATTTTCAAGGCAGGGTGTTCAGTGATCCTTCACCATGTCTTGACTCTCCCAAGGAGGGTGGAGGAACAATGCTGGAGTCCCAGGTCCAGCTTTCAGGGCGGGAGCACAGAGCTTGCAGGGGGACCCAGACCTGCATCGTTTGGCCTAGAAAACACTAGAATCTGCAGTGTGGCAGGCAGGGGCTGGAGCATGGGGCTCCAGGGCACACTCATGTGTGGTCTTCGCCCTGGTTTTGCATCTTCCCGTCCCTGCAGCCCCACTCTGCTTTCTGGGGTTTGGTGGGGAAAGGGGGCACACACTTTCCTCTGTCAGGGGTGGCAAGCCTATGGCACTCGTGCCTCAGATGGCTGTTTCTTATCACTGAAAGTTCTAGAAGGTTCACCATCACTGCTCCAGGGCCTCCAAAACTCAGATGCTTCTCCTCCAGCAGGGGCCTACTCGGCTGCACCCCGAAGGGACCCTGAGCAGGAGGCCCACGTACTCTCTCTTGACTTCATGTTGTGCTTTGCAGGCAGACTGTGCCCTATGGACTGTCCAACTACAGAGGAAGCCTCCGGGGTAAGAGGTCCCCAGGGCCATTTCCAGGGAGCTCGAGGCCCTCGCTGCAGACCCATTTGCGCTGTGCTTGTGTGGGGACCGATGACAAGGCCTGCATGCAGTTCTGCACACAGACGCTGGAGGTCAGCAGGTATGACACCCCTTCTTGTCCTGCGTGTTTCTGGGTGTGGATCACCCACAGGCCAGGCCAGGCCAGGCCAGGTCAGGGCATCTTGTGAGGCCCAGACTGGGTGATGTGGCCCTGTCCTTGGCTCCAGGAGGGCAGATGCTGTAGCACCTCTGACTCTTGCAGCCTTTTGGATGTGCATCTGGTCTCCAGACACCTTTCTCCAGGCAGGAGGAGCTCTTTGCATAAATCTGAATAAATTGCCAACAGTTAAAGACTGAAGAGTTAGCCACCTCGCATACATTATGTTTAGCTTCTTCCCACCACAGCATGTGGGGCTCTCTGCTCTACTGTCCGGCTTCCCAAAAGGGGCATGGAGGACCATTCACCAGGTCTTCCAGTGGTCTGCTCCTATGGCATAGGGCTGCTCGAGGTTTGTCCAGAGGGTAAGGGAGGGACCCAAGCCTGCCTGGGCACTGGCCCAGCTGTCCTCTGTTCAAAGCCTTCACTCCTCATGTCCCTCACGTTGGGCCAAGGCTGAGCAACCTGGCTGCACGGCCTTCCCCAGCCCTTCCTGGAGCCCGTGTCGGGGATGTGACTTTCCTACAACCTGAGTGAGAAGACCCAGAGAGGGGCAGGTGCCCAGAGAGCCGGAGCTCAGGACCCAGTGCTGACCAAACTTTCCTTCCCTGTCTGGCATTTGGAACGACTGATGAGTCACAGGAGTGAGACTGTGCTCTGCTCCGGCAGGCGGCCGCCCACCTGGCACTCAGCCTCCGAAGCTGTGCCTGAGACGTGGTCCTCGGGGAGCGCTCTAATGCGCTGCCTGCTGGGGAAGAGGAAGTCATAATTTGACACTGAAACCCAGCCACACGGAGGTGCGGGTTGATTCATTAAAGCCGGCTCTCTCCCCCCAGTCGTTTCAGGACAACAGGAAAAGCAAACAAAGAGAAAGGCCAGCAGGTCCCGCATCGGCCTGAGGCAGAGACGAAGCTGTGAAGATGTGCCTGCGCTCCTTCCGTGGGGGCGGGGAGGGGGTGACATGGGGGGCCCACAGCTCATGCGACTGTGCCCGCCGTGATGGCTCCTGTCAGGCCACAGGGAGAGCAGCCTGCTCTGCACAGTTGTCACCCTCTGGCCTTGGCCCTGACCAGCCTGCTGTGTCCAGCGTGACCCCCCACCCCGCTGCCCCTGCAGGCCGAGCTGCCCAAGCCCACTTTTGCTTCAGCTGCGGCTGTGGCCCCACACTGCCCCGACCCCGCCATGCCGCCTTCTCAGGGGCTGACTCTGGGCAGAGGCGAAGTGTGGGGGCCTGGCACGGGGTCACACGCCCCCTGCTTCACTTTATCACATTTGGAACCTGCTTATCTTCTTTGTATGCGAGATCCCTAGTGCTTCCTGCAGCCAAACTGGGCTTATTTGTCATTCTGTCCATCAGAAGTCCTTATTAATGACTCACCGGCGCGTCTGCAATGGGATGGTAATTTATGTTCATAATAATAGCCTGGAGGTGGCTTCGGTTCCTACCGGGCCTGATCAAGGCGAGATTAAACCCTGCTCAGGATACAGGAGGCTTTCCAAATTGGTGGCAGATCGCTTCCAGTGGTCCGTAGAGGGATCTGTCAGCATCCATAATGAAAATGGAGAGGAAGGAGGCGGGCCGGGGCGGCAAAGCGGGCCCAGGAGAGTGAGTCAGGCCCCAGCTGCTCCCCGCTTGGCCTCTTGTTCTTTTTCCCGTTTCCCTGCTCCTCACCCCAAACCAAAACTTCGCTTAGCGAGGGCGGGATATGATTAAAGCCATCCATCTGCTGCATCATTTATTCATCCAGCGGAGTCGCTAGCACCTGCTGTGTGCTGGGCACTGTTCTCCATGTTGGTGCCCAGTGGGCAATGGAGGGTCTTCTGCAAGGAGCTCGCAGGGTGGTGCGAGCAGAAGCCCACCAGTGTGTGTGCTACAGTTAGATGTGCAAAGAACGGGAGAGCAGGGCGGGGAGAGGCCTTGGGGTGCCTATAACTTAAAGCTGGGCCTGATGGGCCAGGGGACCCTGGCACCGAAGCCTGAAGGGAATGAGGGCTGAGCACTGAGGACCCGAGAAGGAACGGTATTCTGGTCGGGGGAACAGGTACATAGGAAGTGCAAAGGCCCTGGGGTATGTCCAAGGGTTGGCCAGCAAGGGATTCCCTTCACGGGAAAAACACACAGATGCCCCCCTGCTGCCATGTCCTCATCATTCTGTCATGTGTTCAAAAGCTGAGATTGAGACTGGCAGACGAAGTGTCCCGTTGGGGCTGCGAAAGTAGCTTTTCTAGGGTTTTGTGGTTCATGCTGAGCTCCTGTGGAATGCTTTCTTTGGGAAGAAAGACTTTCGTGAGCTACAAACCCTGTTTTCTCCTAAGAGTCGAATTAGTAACGTCCAGAGTTGAATTCTTGGAGTGGCAGCTGCTGCCGTCCTGGCGCGGGATCCCTGAGGGTGGTGGCTGCCGGGGGCTCCCCAGGTCCACACCTGCCAAGAACATTCTTTCCATGTCCTTCCTGCAGATCGCAGGCTGTGTGGAGGGGCCGCCCTCGGGTCTCAGATGGGGCCCCGCTCGGGGTGTGAAGTGGCTGTCCTGTTCTAACACCTGTTTTCTTTCATTCCTCGGCTCAAGACAGGCTGACGCCCAGGAGAGACGAGAGCCGTAGGCCTTAGGCGGCCATCACCAATGCTTGCTCCCCGCTGCGACCTCACCCCGTCCTGTCTGCCTGCCTGCAGTCTTCAGCAAGCGGCCGATGCTCACACGCGGTTCAAATTTCCACTTCTTTAGGGACAAGGAGTGAATTCACCTGGGGCGGAAAACCCACCCGGAGAGTCCCCGCTTAACAGGTCACCCCTACTCCCAGAATGCCCAGATCTAAGCGACCCCAGTTTCCCTAATGGGTAAAATGATCCCAGATGTGCCCTGGGGCCAGATGCCCGGAGCTCCAGTTTCACGCAGGAAATTGTTTTTGGAGAGGTACGGCAAGCCGGAAAGCCACTTACTGGCTTTTGACAGGACTTCTCTTGGAGCGTAAGTGGACACCAAGCGGGGTGAGCAAAAGTAAACACGTGTGCGTCTTGTGCTAGCCGCGCAGCGCGTGTGTGGCCGGAGCAGGCTGCCTGCCTCGTCTGCACCCGGGAGGTAGCGAGGAGCAAGCTGCCGGCTCAGACCTGGTCGTAGCTTTCCAGTTTGTGGCGGCTCGCATTTAGATAGAAGTTTCGCTTGTGCTTCACACCTGTCACAATAGTGTGTGTCAAAGGAAGGACAGGGCTGCCGATGACCAGAAGAGGAGAGAGTATCTGCTGGCTTTGGACGCTGGGGCATGTCACACGGAGTTTGCTCTTGTTCCCGGGACTGGCTCTGTGTGTCTCTTACAGACACCAGGCTTGTGCACAGTAAAGTTCCCAGGCCTTGTTTGCAGGAAGCCAGCTATAAAGACAGCTCCCAGCTCAAGGCCGTTAGGTTGAATATTTTTTCCATTGTGAAGAAATGTGGATCTTTAGGGAATGGCTGCAAAATAAACCGTGAACACAAACTCTTTATAAATTATGTAAATTCCTATTTATCTCTGTAATTGGCAACATCTGGAAATTGTAATACCCGATGACTTAGAATCCCCTTCAGCTGGGTCCTCCTGGCCACGCTGCGCTCACAGTGAGTGTGGGACCTGGCCTCTGTGCCCTCTACGGGGCGCTTTGAGGAGAGGCTGCCCACCTCCCCACCTGTCACAGAGCCGGGAGAACCTGCTTCCGGGCACACACCAGGGGCACTGCAAGGAGCGACTTTAGGTGGTACACGATGTAACATTGGCCCTGACCAGATGTTAAGCCCTGGAGGAGCACTTCGTAAGTTATTGTAGGTATAAAAGTGCGTATCTATCATGAGGCAGTGAAAACAAACTGATTTGCTAGCAGGATTTTGTATAGTTTAGAGAAGCGATTATTTATTGGGGAACTATTCTCTACTGCAACTCCTTTATGAGATCTGTTAACAGTAAAATCACTGTATAGACAAAGAGATGTTTAAATTGCATTCTGAATCCAAACTCACATCCTTTAGAGCTTGAATTACATTTTAAAAATGCAGATGCATGGTTTGGCACAGGGGCGAGATGGTATCTTGGAAAGACATTCATTTGTTGTGCGAACACTCAGAAAATACTGTCGGATGCATAATAAAAAAATCCAAGAGTTGGCTCTGATTCGTGGGTTTTTCCTTTTGGTTGTTACATGCATGGCTATGTGGCAAATTTTCCTGGACCCCCGAAGGGACGGGAGGAGGTTAGGGTTTGGGAAGAGAATCTGTCTGCAGCCAGTTAGGGAACCCGATGAGGGACTGCTTGAACACTGAGGAGGGAGCAGGGTTTGGGGGCCCGAAGAAATGAGACGTTTGAGGCAGGCGGAAAGAGATTTGGGGAGAGGGCTGGTGATTTCCCTGGCTCTGCTGCGCCTTCAGAATGCAGAGCTTCCTCCTCTGGCCCATGGGATGACAGTGGGCCACAGGATGTCAGCGAGGGGGCTCCGTTCAGGACACTCGTGAGTGGGGAGCCAGAAGTGGCCATGGCAGCAGGTTTCAGCCTTTGTGACGGGGGGACCTTCATGGCAGTTGGGCATGAGGAAGAGAAGGGTTTGTTTCATTTTCTCTTTCTTTCTCCGCTCCCTGCCTCTCTGCCCCTTTCTGAAACCAGACTCGGAGCCCATCAGAGGGAAGGAATTGGACAAAGACAGCCAGAGAGCAAAAAGAAGTTCAATATTCTGAGCAGGGCTGATCACTATCTAGTCTGGGAAGACCTAAGAGCCTCTTGTTTTAATTAAACTCATTTTACAGAGTTTTGACTTTGATGAATTGAGAGGTGGGTGCTAATTTATTCAGCAGGATGTGGAGCAGTGCATCAGAAGGTGCCTGTGCTCCCGGGAGGCACCCACAGGCACCCAGAGAGCCCCTGCAGACACCAAGAGCAGAGGACAGTCCAGGAGTTCCAGGAGCTGAGGGATCGGCCAAATCCAGGCGTGCTGGGCCTTCCTGGTGGTCCATGGAGCTGTGAGCAGGACCAGCTGCAGAAGCTGCAGGGCCTCAGCTCACAGGCATTAAAACTTCAGAATGGGGGCCGCAGAGCGTTGACCTAAAGGGGCCCCTCTGAGCGTGTGGCCCATTCCCCTGTCCGGCAGAGAGGGCCATTGGGTCTGGACAATTGGCGTCGAGACCAGTTCCTGGGAGACAGAACTGAGACTTGGCTTCCATTTCCTCATTCACGGCAGGGGTGCCCTTCTGTGCCCAGCTACCCCAAAGCTGCCCTATGAGATCAGCTGATGCCTTCACGGCTTCAAACTTTGCTCCAAACTGATCACGAGCCCCCCTCCTTTATTTATTTATTTTTTTACTGAAAGTTTCTTGTGGAAGCACACCTTTGTGTTTAGAAAGTACTTCCAACTCATGGAGTTACTTTTCACCTATGAAAATGGTCAGGATAGTGAATTTCTTTGTTTCGGAAGACATAAGTTCTTCAAAGCCCCCAATTCTTACATGCAGATTGTCGAGTATTTTAAAGTTTAAGCAAGGCAGGGTACCTGTGCCTCAGTGTGGCAAATCCGCCTGGGCTCTGCCGTCACGAGGGTGCCGGTGCCTTGTCTTCGCTGGCAGGAAGGCTCAGGACAGTTGAGGTCCCAGGGGTGTGGGATTTAGTGCAGGGAAACTGTAAGAATCAGTAACTGTCAGGGGCCAGAAGGAATGAACACGAGCACCTTGTGCTGGGCGTCTCGTTCATCCTTCCAGCTCCCCAGAAAGAGGTCCTGGGATGGCAAGAGCTGGGTGATTCAGGGCAGTGGCAGAGGGACCAGGAATTCACGGCAGAGGGAAAGAATCCTGGGAGAAGGGGAAAGGACCAGGGCCCTTGAACCTGCGCCTGCCTCCTGCCTCCTCTTCTGCTCTCATCCCCCATCCGCAGGTGAGGGGACCGCCTCATGAAGCCTTGTGGACTCAGCGCGGGACGCCACGCCCAGGCCCGGGCATCCTCTCCTGGCCTGCTGCCCCCTTTCACAAGCTTCCTTTTATGCTCCTGAAGGAGTAGTCGTTGACGTCACACAGGTGCCCGCCCCATCCTCCGGTTTGATTTGCACGTCAGATGTCCCCTCTGGCTCCCTGATTTTGGATGTACACAGACTCCAGACACGGGTGAAGACAGACGACACAAAGATACTGACAGACCAGTAATAATTTGATATGGTGGGATTAAATGGAGCCAAACTCAGAGGAGGATACTGGCCCGGTCTGGGGTGAGTGGGGAACGTCTCAGAGGAGGAAAGAGTCAGCCACGCCAAAAAATGCAGGAGGGACTGCCCAGGTAAGGGGAGGAGAACCAGCGGGGCTCCAGACACCGGTGGCAGGCAGGGCGTGGCAGGGGACAGCAGGAAAAGCTATCAGCAACCTGTGACCAGGCCACATGCTGGACGCCTAAGCTACCGATAACCTTTGAACCCCAGAGATCCCTGAGGCGGGGATGGGGCTCAAACAGCTCCTTGTCTAAAAGGGATGAGAGGCAAAGCGTGGTAGCTGCCTCTGCCGGGCAGGTCTTTGGTTTTCTTTCTTAGACACAACCTCAAAGAGGTCTTCCACCTTCTGTCCGAGCCCGACTCACCAAACAGGAGCCACGTAGCTGAGCCCTCTGGGCAGCTGGGCCCTGAGGAAGACACAGATCTTCAGGGGCCAGGGACTGGGCATTCATCTCACTGTGTACTGATTCACACAACAGGGCAAATGAGCATAGGCTGTTCACAGTGATAAAAAGCCCGAGTCCTAAGGAGGTCAGAGATCATTCTATGGAATAGCAAATACGTTCGCATTAAGCTACTTCTGTTATAATGTGACTACTAGTAAATATTTTATTTCTGTACAAAATGAGTATTTCGGTCTTGTGGGTCCTTTGCTGTCTGTTATAATTATTCTGCTCCTCTGACTCTGGAGCAGCTTGGCCAGAGTGCCTGGACTAGTGTTCTAGCACATGTGGCCATCGATAGTCTGCGGGCCAGGTCTAGCCAGAGGTCTATGGCTTGCCAGTGAATTTTCTGTGTCTCTGTCTTCTGCAGATATCTTCATCTTGACCTTTGTAAGTGACAATCTTGCTGGGGATAGAATTTTAGGTTGACCCACTGGCCCTCATATCTCTGAGGGTATTTCATTATCTTCCAACATCGCCTAGAAACCTTCTCGAGCACCCACCGTTCCTCCTTTGTAGGTACATTGTTTTTATTCCTTGTTGGCTTTAATATTTTTCCTCTTTATCCTTGATGTTCTTTTTTAAAATTAAAAAAAATTTATTTTAAAGAATATAAAACTAAACATAAAACAGAACAAAGCTGATCAGAAGAAAACAATGTGATACAGATTTCAAAGCAAGTTAACAAGAGATCATCACTGGACCACAATGTCTCTTGTTTCCTTCTAAATAGTTGTCCGTATCTTCACACACAATGAATTCATACAAAACAAAATAGTATAAAATTGATCAGAACAGAGTGATGAAGGCATTACAGGCCTGCAAAACCAGACGATAGGGAAATCAACAATGGCTGCCATAATTCTCTCATTCTCTTCAAAATAGCTGTCCATACCTCCATGTATGTTGAAATTAAACAATGCAAAGCAGGCTGAAATGACTCTGAACAAAGAATAGAAGCATTACTGGATTTCACAGCATGATGATACGGAATCAACAATGGATACCATAATGTCTGTTTTTCTTCAAAGTAGCTGTTCAGTTCATCATGCATTATATAATCCATTCTCATAAACTGTTTAGGAGAAATTCTAGGCATGTATGAGCCTCTGCACGTACACCTATCCTTTCTGCATTAGAGAGAAAAATTAAGCTAAACAAAACAAATTACTAGGAAAACACAAAACAAAAAAGACAATAAATAACAGTAGCAAAGAGCACAAAACACAGATAATATAGGTCTTCAAAACAAGGTGGTAGGAGCATAACCAGGGTTATTTTTACATAGTGATCTTCAAGAGTTCCTCAGATCACCGTACACAAGCATGCACAATTGTTCCAGTCCTATAATGTTAGCTGCTTTGCTCCAAGAATTTATAGAATTTGTAGCACAATCATCTTAGCGATCCTAAGTGTGTTTATATAATTTTAGATATCTTTTCTTTTCCCTTCCTTTTTCTTTTTCCTCCTTTTCCTCGAGATATTATTTCCCCCTTGGACCAGATTCTTACCCTTTCACTGTACTTACTGAGGACTTTGTGTCTCATGTGCTCTTACCATTTCTTACCCTAGGAAGACAATACAGTATTTGCACATGTGAGTTTGATTTATTTCCCTTATGAGCATGGTCTGGAGTTGCATTGTTTCAGTAGAGAGTGACCTCCAGGGATTGTCTTTTCTCTCTTTATGCAAATTGTAACTTGGTACAACTTCTCAGTCTGAGGTCCCTCCTGCTCCCTTCAGTGATGTGAGACTTTGGGCTTTATCACTGGACACTGCTACCGTGCCACTCTCTGGTCTCTCAATGTCTGTTCGCTGATTTTCACTTAAAATACATGTTTAATTTTCTTCTTGTACATCTTGTTCTTCTTCTTCTTGAGGCTGAGCTTAGGATGGAAAATTCAGGCCTGTCATTAGAGGACATTTTAGGTTATTTGGGGACCAAGTTTTCCCATGGAAACACGGCCCGTCTGTCAGTCCACACACATCTTCCCAGTTCTCCTTGTGCAAGGTGTGTGTGTGAGGAATTCAACTCACACGCTACTCTTTCATTTATTCAAAGAATGTGCCACTTTTTAGTCACCAGTACGATTCCAAGATCTGAGTACTGCTTCTGTCCTCCCATGATGGACAACCAGGAACCTCGCGATGGGGGCGAGGCGCCCTTGGACCCCGGCTCACAGCACAGGGCTTCTCTTCACAGTTCACATCATGCTCCCTTGGGCGGTTATCTAATTAGCGAATGTGAGTGACAGCAGAGAATTAGGGCTGACGATAATTATATGAAGACGGTATTTTTAATTAAAATATTTCGCAGGTAAACCTTTCACGATTCAAAAGTCAAAGCTGCCAAAAACTCCATATGTGGAAGTCTCGCCTTTATCTCTGTCACAGGCACATTGTTTTGCTTTTGTCCTTAGAGAGTCATTTTTGTTATGCTCTGGGCTACCTGTTCACACTTCCCTGCGCAAGCAGGAGCAGATGCAAAC